CTAAAGCAGAACTGGAGCTGGGCTGTACTTTGTGAAATACCACTTTGTACCACAGGATGGCATAGTGATGATGGAGCAGTCTTTATTAATGAGGAGACTTAAGAGCACATTCTTCTTTAAAACGGCAGCCTGCAAAAGACAAAGTTAAAGCAGCACACAGCAGGGGGTAAAATGCTGCCCCTAGTGGTGAAACCTTTGAGTAAACTATACAGAGGGTTATTATAAAAAACACCCTTAAGCTAAATGCTAATTTTCCCAATACTGTCCAAAACCTTGGTGTGAAAACTAACAGGTCACTACATGTCCGCATCCTAGCAACAATCCATGAACCGAACATTAAAAGCTTCCACATGAAACACTTTCCTCTGTCTTTAGCCAGTGCAAACACAGTCAAAAAAGATCATATTTGGGGTTTATTCTCTCATTTGGATAAAGCAGGCAGTTTGAAGATGCCAAATTGTGCATTTTTAACTTGACATTTTGTATACTGAACATTAAATAATTCATCATAAAACAACAAATTAAAAGATCATAAAGACAATATTAGCACACAGCGGTGTGTTGCAGCTCACCAGTATCTGATGCTTTCTGTTGAGTTGCTGACTGAATGTCTGAATGTCATCTCCAGAAATGTCCTCAGTGCCATTCGTTCTGCATGGACTGCACGGCTGGAGCCAGGCCTGCTCCGACACTCAGGATGATGCAAATGGTTTTGCTTACTGCTTTAATGATAGACGATAATATCCTGCTGCTGATGAAGGATGTGTTTACTTTTAGTGCTTGACTGTGCTCTGAAAAAAAACCCACATGCATGTGTGCGCGTTAACACTACCAGGAGGGTAAGGGGATAACTAAAAGAGTTTTTTGCAACCTCCAGCAACATTTAACGCACTCTCACCAGAAATGGTGTGCGCGCTGTATAATTTGGGCCCACCACTTGAGCATTTCAGTAGCGAGCCGTGTCTCTGTGGGTAATGGAATTCATTGTTAGGACCACTCTGGAGGTCCCTCAGAAGTGTGGGCACAAGACAAATGGTGCTCATCAATATCTGCCTGCTGCTCTGTAACCACAGCAAAAGGAAATGAATGACAGAATGCTTTTTTGACATCTGAAGACATCTCTTGGGGAAATTGGCTGTGCAGATTGAACATCAAGAGGCCTTTGGAGAAGGAAAGACTGCTGCCTGTTTATGTGAAAAAATCCCGGAGATGTCTCCATTCACAGTTAGAAAAAGAAAAGAGAGAAAATGTATGCTTTTAGTTTTGTTTTAAATGTGCACTCTGATTCTGGTAAAAGTCCAAAACAATGGGTGTAGGGGTGAATGCAAACAGTGATATTATTTTTTTATGTTTTTACATTTTAATGTCACTGTCTCAGGGTTTGAAATAACATCCTCGTACAATCCCGTACCTCTGGTGTTTTGTTCCTTTTTACACCTGGGATATCAGAAAAGCATCTGTGCACTGATCTCCGTGGCTTGAAAATTTCAGCTCAGTGCTGGTCTCTTAAAGTAGTACTACAAAGTGACATTTTATTGCACCATTGCATGGTTGTGGTCTCAAAAGAATTGCTTTCTTCTTAAATAATAGATTTATTAATCATTGCTCCAGTACATACACAAATGTTGCTTTTTATTAGAAAAAAAAATACAGTTTTTTTCTTTTTTGCTTCTTTGCTTTTCTTTTTGGTTTGCAACAGAGTTTCTCATTATATTAAAAAGAAATATGGATGTACTGACAGTTACCAAGAAGTGGCCTTAAAATATGTTCACAAGCCGGTGGCTTGTTGAAATATGCCATAAAATTCACCACCTCTATGCTAACAGTTAGCCCAAGAACGGAGCAAAGGCAAGCAGGTCAGCGCAAGCATCAGGCAATCATTGATCACTAGGGAAAAATGTGAGTGGCTGCTGGAGGGTGCTGAAAGACAGGTTGTTGCACAGATAATCTTCAAGTTGCTTTGGTTGCTACCAGGTTGCTGTGGTTACATGTAGTTTGCATGGGAAATGCTGACTTGTCTACAAACACTTGCCAACTGCTCTCAGTAAAGTACTGAAACTTGAAAAATATAATAATTTGTAAGCAAAAGTTCTCCATTTCTGGTTTGCATCACACTCTTTTCAGTTTAAATATCGCTTGGCAAGTAGTTTGCGTGCAAACGACAGCCAACTGCGATAATCTGCTTGCAACCAAAGCAATCACAAGAAGGTTTTTGTAGTCACTGCCAAATGTTTGCAGACAAAACAGCATCTTGCATGGAATCTACAGGCAACTATCTGCCAAAGACCAAAGCAATCATAAGGCGGTCTCCATGACTGATTTCACCTTGCGAGAGTTTGCAACCTTCAGCAGCCAGTCACTCACTGGTTGGGGAATACACATTTTTTCCCGAGCGACTGGAGGTTGCCAGGTGGTTGTTGGCTGATCTCTAGGTTTGTGTGACTGACGACTGAAACAATGAAGCATCTTGCATATCGAGTGAATTTTTCTTAATGTTGTTTCTGTTACATGAAAAGCTTCTTTCTGTTATTATAACTGAAAGGTGTTTCAAATAAAGTAGTCACAAAGGAATGACATCTCCTTAACCATGTGATTCATCACTGTCTGTTTCACACAACACAGAGGGGTTCAACAATGCATTTTAACAGCTGATTCTGAGGGATCTTAGGGCCATTAAAGGGCCATATTTTCGATTCAATTTTGTACTGTAGGAAGAAATGGTGAGGTGACATATTGTCCATTTTAGCACCTGCACTCTGTGGTACCAGGGCTCTTTGTCCCACTGTGTGGTTTCTTTTGATGGATATATTCTTGGACTTTGGCCAGAAGAAACTTAATCTGAGCAAATTCAATAAATACATACAAATTCATTATACTTGAGGAAAGCTGTTTTTTTCAACAACCAATTTTTCAACCAGGGTTATGTTTAGTTTGTCTATAGTTCTGTCACACTGTATGGATAATATAGTACTATATTATACTATTATATAGTACTAGAATGTCAGTAAATGCAAAAACACTACCCCGAATAAAGCAGTAGAGACTAGATAGCGAGACAGTGAACATGAATGTAGGATTTAAATATTACAAAACTGGATTTTAAGCCAGGCTTTATGAGAAGGAAACACATTCTACAGACACAAAAAGTCCACTTGATGGCTCTAAGAGGAAAATATCACTTGAAGTATGCAGACATTTTTGTATTTATTCATCTTTTATGTGATAATTGTCCCAAAGTGTATTTTTATTATGATTTACTGCAGCATGTCTCAGACCTACAACCAGTATTTCTGAAGTGTGGCTAGAGCGTGCAAAAAAAGTTTAAATTTCATCCTGCAGATGATAGCAAAAGAAAAAGAGAAAAAAAAAAGATCTTCAGCCTACTGATCTTCAAAAGAGCGCTACACCACAGAGGTGGACCAGTTTCCAGACAGAAAATAAAATGTTTTTTCTGTGCTGTGCTGATCTTTTTGCAGCCTTACCCGAATTTGGATAAAAGGCAAAAACTGTGGGATGGAAAATTGACTTCATAGAGCTACCGTTTATTGAGGCAGCAGATATTTTCTTTAATATAGCATCAAATAGCACTACAATAACATAGTGTGGTCAGAGGATGGAACAGTCAACCCTGTGTTACACAGGAGCTTTCCCTAAACCTCGATTCCTAGCTTACATCTTTTCAAATTTCACCTTAAAAAAGGTTGCTATAACATCTTTGATTCTCATTCAGTTAAAATGCACCCTAAGCTTTTTTTTCCCTCACTATCATTACATTCCAATAGAATAATTTCCCTATATTTTTTTCTGTACACTTATCTTTAATGCTACCATAAATTAAGAGCATGCTGCTGCCCTTCACACTAAGGATTACTGCAAAACTGGCACAATACCACCACATGACACCACGTCAGGAACAGAACTTCAGTCACATCACTGTTTGAACACCTCTATCATCCGCTGGAGCTGGAAAGACAGACCCAGAGAAGGACGGCACTGACTTCAACTCAAAGTTTTATCTTGTTTTGGTGTCTGACATCATTGTGGTCCCATTCAATCCTCTGGTCCGATGGATTCTGGGCTTTAAGTCCCCTTTCTCCCACTTAAAGACTTAACTGGAGAAAATTGGTTGGATCAACAGCAGCACCATCAACGGCCAGTGTTTGATTGAACTCCCTCTGTCCAAAAGCACCATCACTCAATAATTAAGCTTCACACACACGCACACTTGTGCATTTTCTCTTCCTCTGTCCAGAGCAGGTAGGAACCTCCAGTCCAGAAGGGCAAAAGGGCTTCACTTTCATCCTCGATCCCCCACTGAACAGTCGGCACTGCCTCTCTCACAGGCCCCAGTATGGAGCGAGGCTCCTGCGGTCCCTCTCATAAACATCAGGTATGACCCCGTAGGGCGTCTGCACCATCTTAACAGAGTTTCTGCCGAACAGCTTCCTCTCGTACTCGATTAGCTGGCGCCAGAAGCCACCGTTGGGCCTAATAACGGGGCGGCGGGCTTTGACCCAGGCGTGGGCCTCGGCCAGAGACACACGGTGGTACTTCATGAGATACGCCAAACACAGAGAAGCGGAGCGGCTCACTCCCGCTGCACAGTGCACCAACACCGCCCCTCGCTTACGTCCCACACTGTGGATCTTATCGGCCACGCTGTCGAAGTACAAGGAGATGGGGGAGTGGGGCATATCTGCCAGTGGGACCTTTACATATTCCATGTGAGGCCAGTTAAAGTTGGGGAGCTCAATGGTGGCGTTGACCACACAGGTGATGCCTTTAGACAGCAGCAGGCTGCGGTTGGAAGCCACGTTTCCTCTGCTGAGGAAGAGGTTGGGGGTGATTTGTGCGATGCCTCCCAGCAGGCTTCCATTTTCGGGCAGCAGCCTCGGTACCGTCGCAGGCACCATGGAGTTGCGATGGTGGTGGTGATGGTGGTGGTGATGATGATGGAAGAAGCCTTGGCTGCGGGAAGCCATTGAGAAAACAAGTGGGCTTTAACAGGAATGGATTTTCTTTTTTCCTTTACAAAATCTTCATGAGCTCAGAGTCATAGTAGTGCAGCGGCACCAGCCAGACAGCTCCTGAAATACAAAAGCAGACTTAGCTTTTATCTAAATTAAACATTTTTCTATTTCAGTGCAGGCTGACAAACATAAAAACACTTCAAGGATGAGTAACGTGACTGCTGTTTGAAAACACTACATAACAAGGGCACTGAGATCCTTCTTTTGGAGGGCAGAGTGCTGCGAATCCATGAAATGGTTTGGATAAAAAGAGAGAGGGGAAAAAAGGAAATGCTTTTGTAAGAGTGCGTCTTCAAACTTTAAAAACCCAGACAAAAAAATCTGTTAGAGTCACAACAGTTTGAACTCATTTAAAAATACGAAGCTGTGAGCCTCACAAAATTATACGAGAGGGGTTTTCAAGAATCTGCTGCGCTGAAGAGACCAGTCACTCTACTGTACGTGTCTCAACATTCAGGTCGAATGGCCGCACGCTGAGACGAGCCTCGCTCTGCCATGTGAGCGCAGACGTCCCGCAGGCAAACACTCACCTCATCTCATGTTCATCCATCCACGGCTCCCACATACAGATTACATCTCGTCTCTCTGGCTATTCCTGCCGTTAATGTCATTTCTCTACTGCACCAAACAGCAGGGTGGAAGCTAATCACACATACTGTACGATCATACCAAACTTCATTTAAACACACGATTTGCCACCCTAATTTCATTTTCTTTTCTCTTTTTTTTTCCTAAAAGGAAAATTACCTCTACTCTCTTTGAGAGTACAGCACATACAAGGAAAAGTATATTATGGAAACTAAACTAATATGATATATACTACTGTATGTGCTCAACTGATGGAAACACCTGTGGCAATGCTTAGACTATCAGCGGAGAACCCACAGCTCCGGGCTGAGCTTCACACACTGTTGCACTTGTCGTGCGTCATCCACACATCCTGCACCAGTCTAGGCTGGCAGGTCTTTCTCCTTCATTTCTAGTGTGGTCTGGTTAACAAGACGCATGGCAAAAACACTGCTGTGTGCCGTCACCTTGCAGACTGGGATTCTTCTTATGAATTAAATTCTAATCAAAAACATGAGTGTGGAAGGTGCAATTAAATTGTGATCGCAGCTTTCAATGCACAAAAGGGTTGCAAGGTAAATCAAATCCTAATCCCTCGTTCCCCCCCTTTGATGAGCGGATGCTTCATTTTAATACAAGGAAGAGTGTCTGCTATGCTTTTCCATATTTTCTGTCATATTATTACAACAGTGGACGCTCATGTTCAAATCAAGAGTTCAGCATATGTACAGGTAACGTCCCTGTGAGACAAAATCTTTGTCTTCATTTCTTTTCCTACTCTTGGCTCTGTATGATGTCAAAGAGAGTGTCCATAAAATGTTTCTTAACATGGTCATCTCATGCACACAGCTCTGACCGTGAACAGGGAATCTGCTGTTTAATGCTATTGTTTCTAAGACGCAGCCAATCACAAGGAAGTCAGGTTAAAGGAGGACAGCCTTAACCCTCATTTTACTGACTGGGGTCCATGTAGACCCCCAGAGGTGTATTTTGTCATATCTCACAGATGTTATTATTATTGTTTTGTTTTTAATTGTTCCCAATTTTATGACTTTGTCAATCAATTTGTTTCTTTTTTCCCCAATTCCATTATGTAATTCTCTTGACTTCATCAAAGCATGAACTTGGTAAAGTGATTGGGAGGAGCACCTGAAGACATGGTTCTCTAGCCAGGAGAGGGTAGAGTTCCCGCTCCACGCCAGCAAGAAGTTCAAGTAACTTGGGGTCTCGTTCACGAGTGAGGGGAGGGTGGAGCGGGAGATTGACAGACAGATTGGTCCAGCAGTGTTGCAGATGCCACCCGAGGTGGATCAGGCAGACGTTATTTTGATGGGGTTTCAGCCATGTCCTACTGGGAGGAGGTTGGGGCAGACCCAGGACACACTGTAGCGATGACATTTCTGGGCTGCCTTGCTTTGTGTTTGTTTTAATGATTTTATACTGGTTGGGGTTTTTTTTTTAGTTTTTTTTATATAAATACAACACAAATTTTACCTTAAATTATTGAAAACTAAGCGTTACCATAATCAAAGGTTGGTAAATACACTGTTGAGTAATAATGTGGAATATACTTCCATACAAGCTGCAGGCTGCAAGAAAAGTAGAGTTTCATTTTACAAAACAACATGATTGAAAATGTAATGTAATATAAAGGGAAAATGTAGGCATACAAATAATAATGATTGGATAAGAAATAAGTTTTGATATTATTATTATTATTATTATTTCTATTACACTGAGGTTAAAGGGAAAGCAGTTAAAATGACTTGTTTCAGGCAGAGGATGTTTTGAGTTGGTGCACAAACGGTTACCATAAAAAACACTTCAAACAAACCTAACCTTGATTTCTGCTGTGATTTTGAATCCAGCTCACAGAAGAATGACGAGTTTGATGTCTGCTCACCATTTTTATGTCACTTTGTTCTCAACAAACGACACAGTGTATGCCAGTAAAGATTTTCAACTTGAACAGTTCATTCATCCAAGAGCTGATGTGTGATTTAAGTGTTCCCTTAAATTCTTTTTAACTTTTACGCAACTCTGGAAAGTCAAAGAACAAAAGCATTTAGCTGTAAATCAACATAAAAGGACCACTTTAAAACCCATAATATAAATAATATCAGTCATATCTTTTATTTTTCCCAACAAGTTTCTCTCTGCCTGCAAGATTTTTTTTTTTTTTTTTACATTGTTAATGATTTTATTGCCTAAAACTTGCATAGAAAATCAGTAAGTCATGGAGCAGCTAATCTCCCCAAGGGCTAGAAAAGCCTTTCCTTGTATTGCTCACAGCTTTGATATCCCAGCATGGCCTGCTTCCCTTTAAAAAAGAAAAGGAAAAAAGGAATGAAAGGATAAACTAAAATAATGCAAAATAATGCTATCAGCTCTCTGTGTTCCTGGCTGCTATCCACCATGGACTTTGCTATGAAATGGTTGCCATAAACCTGCTGCACCTTCATCCACAGCGCCACCACTTGTGATAAAACAACAAATATGTTTCTCACTGTAGAGCCGTCTCAAAATCCCAAGACTACATCAGAGTGTGAACAAGTTTCCTGCAGGAGCATCAAGTGCATAATAAGTACTAGCAGTGATTTACCTCACCTGATGTGACAGTAAATTAATAGATTTTTGGTTTTTGAATTGCTGGGTTGGGCGCCTAAGCAGCTCTAAACACCAATAATTGAAGATTAACTGATAAGGAAAATCAGTTAAAGTACCACAGACCAACTGCAGCCAAAAAATGAGCCACAATTTACTTTATTAGTCAATGTTAATCATGCAATCACTTCATTTCAGCAATTTTAGGTTTGTTAATGGGGTCTTCATGGTTTTAATCATTCAATAATGAGTGATGGGTCCTTCAGTCAAAATGGATGTTAAACCTAAATCAAAAGTTTTATATTAAAATGTGAAAAAGTCCTGAGGAGGATTTTAGAGCTGAACAGGTCTCAGAGACGTCACATGCAGCAGAACCACAGAACAATAAAGATTTCTGAAACAGACTCTCCCAAATGAGTTATCTTCACTCTTCAGTTCACTTCACCTTTAGTGACTCTTCATAGTGCTTTACTGTCATTTTTGCAGAAAGATTGATATTGTAGCTCAAACTCAGGCACACCTCCATGTGTAACGATCGGTGAGGAGTAGTCAGTCTATGAACTGAATGACAGACGATGTGTTTTGTTGTAGCTGCTAACTCAAACAATCACTGCTCATTTCCACGTTAAAAAAATGTATGTATGTATGTATGTATGGACCCCAACGACCTCAATATCTCTTAAACCTTATATTTTGAGCAAAATCATTTGGACTCTAAAAGAACTATACTGTATTTTGATGGTCAAATGCCACTGTGACCTTGTAATTCAAGTTTCTGGCCAAAACTCAATCACTCTGAAATATAAAGATGACGACACGCACAAAGTGAAAAGGTCAACATCCCTTTGACACCATAATTTCAAAAACTTTTCATTACTGAAGAGCCTGGATTAAAGCTAACCAACGTGACGGAACTGACTCTTTGGTGATCAGCTAATCCATCTTCACTAAATACTATATGAGTCTGGAGGACATGGATACAAACTAGTAATTATTCTTTTACCAAGTTTTTGAAGGTATACCAGACCAGCATACACTGGGCGTTAAAAAACAAAGTGGGACAGGGTCTTAATAATAATAATAATAATGGAATGCATTTATATAGCACTTTTCGGGGCCCTCAAAGCGCTTTACAATTCCACTATTCATTCACTCTCACATCCACACACTGGTGGAGGACACAACGACCGAGACTGTCCAAGCCGGGGCTTGAACCGGCAACCTTCCGATTACAAGACGAACTGCCTTCTCCTCACATACAAAGTCTTGAACCATCAGGCTCTGCCGTATCTTAAAAGACCTCATAGTACAATGTTATCCTAACATAGCATTGCTGGCTTACTTGTGGTTTGAAGAGTTTCTAAAAGTTGAATGGGAGGCAGAACCTTCAGCTATTACGCCTCTCTCCTGTGGAACCAGCTCTCAGTTTGGGAGACAGACACCCTCTTTGAAAATTAAGCTTAAAACTAATAAGGCTGGATCAGGTGACTGTGAGCCTTCCCTTAGTTATGCTGTCATAGGCTTAAATTCCTGTGGGACTTCATGCACTAAGTACTTCTTCTTCAATCACTTCTTTTTGTGCTCCACCTGTTTATATACCATTGCGACATGTCAGAAATTTTTTGCCTTTTCTTCCTTATTGTGTGTTTTCCCCATTTCCCTATACTCTTTTTCTTTTCTCTTTCCTCTTTTTGCCTCGACCTGCAACTAGTCACAGTGGATGGCTGCACCTCCCTGAGTCTGGTTCCTCTGGGTTCTTTCTGCTAAAAGGGAGTTTTTCCTTCACACCCTCGCAGATTGCCAGCTCATAGTATTATTGTCGGATCTTTAACTTACAGTATAAAATGCCTTGAGGCAACTGTTATTGTGAATTGGCACTATATAAATAAACCTGAACTGAATTAAATTCTTCTCTGTAAAGCACGTGAAGGGGTTCTCCACCAGTTCAAGTCCAACACCTTACACCAAATGTGGGACAAGAGACTCATTTGCGATGAAGCTGATAGGGAAAAAAATGGTTAGAGAAAGATGAAACAGGAAGGGTTGAATAGATGAACTTTCAAAATAAAAGCCAGATGATTCTCCACTATTAAAGTTATCTCAGTCCCTAATCTCACCCACATCAGTCTGAGTGTAACATCTCCAGTGACATCTTTTTAAAATAACAAAAGCTAAGCCTGACCTGCGAGCAGATGCCTTGTCTTGAGTCTCTATGTATTGCACAGCTGATGCAATAATTCACAGACAGAGATAACACAAACTGAGTTGCTGGGCAACCAAGTAACCAACAGTGCAACAGCAGTAGCCACATCAACGGGGAAAAGAAGAAAATAAGAAAACCAAATAAGCCCAGGCCCTCTCCAAAGTGCTGATGAACCACAGCGCTGGGCTGTGCTGAGATTTGCTTCATCCACATGGTTATTTATACCCCTGGCAGGGCAGAAGCGGAGGAGGGAGAATTATGCACAGGCTGTCGTCACTGAAAACTCTACTGTACGTTGGAAATGCTGCAGCTCACTGTCAGTCAAATTTACTCTGAGGATTCAAAGGACAGCATTCCAACTTTTACTCTACAACTAATTAGTGCTGAACTTTACAAAAGACCAAATTGAAGTTGTTTTATTATATACATTTTCATTATTATAGCCTCATTACTATAATAGTCAATTCTCCAAGCCAATTATTCTAAACCTATTAACAAAAATAATAAATCCATATTGGAGGCAATCACATTTTTAATTTCTCATTAGGCTACAACTATTTTGACGGTGTCTTTTATGGTTGTGTTTTAGACCATTAAATTCTTAAAACTGATTTGTGAAAAAAAAAAATCTTTCTGAGAAATCCCAATGAGACATTTCCCTCAAATCACCTAAATTTCAGGTTTTCTTCTTCTGATCTCGTTTATGTTTCAGAAACATCCCCTCTCTCAATCACTCAGATGAATCTGTCAACAGTTGGTGCCACCTCACAAATCTTGTGACGCTGCTCTCTCGCTGGGGAGATTCCTCAGGGGTCCGGTTCCACCTTTGCTAACACAAATTGGAAACGTGACCCACCTGCAGGAAAACTAGAGTAGCGGTCCCGCTGGCAACCTCGTCCTCACGACACTAACGAGTGAAACCTTGATAGAACTGAACTTCCTGACCGACACTCCCTCACACCACAGAACGAGATAACTGAAATAGCCGGAGACGGCTGCGATTTCTCAATAAAAGAGGCAGTCTGCTCAGGTTGAGTGATGTCTGAAAGTGTCTCGGCACAGACTCAATAATGATCTGGGGAGAATGAGCAGCAATGACAGGGCTGGTCTTTTTGGGCGAGCAAGGAAGGGCACGGCCTCTCAAATGTCTCCAATGCAGCTGGATTCCAGCACAAACAATGCACACAGTAGCTGCTGTTGGTTCAGAGGAGGGAAAGTTTCGAAACAGAGGGACAAATGCCACATGAGAGTTCGGCTCTGGCACCTTCCTGCTGCAGCAGCACCACCCAGATCCACAATGTCACACCTCAATATGTCGCACCAAGGGGAAAATCACTGACGGCCACAGATGGTCACATGTCATGTAGTAAGAGACAGCATGCCTCCTCCCTTTCCTTTGAGATGTTTTCCACAAATTTGTCTTTAAATGAAAAAAATTGGCGTCGCTTTTAGAGATTACTCACTGTAGCAGACACATGAGACAGATAAATGGACTCTACTTTTACACAATGGGAAAACAATGACAGACTGACACAACCTTTTATTATCCTTAATTGATTCTACAAGCTGGGAATGTCAAACACTGCGAAAATTAACCAGCAACTCTTCCTATTTGTTTTCAAATATATCAAAAAATTTACTAATTTCAGCTTTTTTAAAATGTGAATTGTTCTTGCTTTTCCTTATCACCTTTGATAGTAAACTAGAAATAATTACATTTTCAGATTTCTTTAAAAAAAAAAATTAAGAAGCTTTTATTCAGTGTTTTACGACATTTTACACATATTTTTACCAGTTGGGAACATGACAAGCAGATAGATTACTACTTTAAACTTTTATAATTAGCCTTGTCTCGTTATTTTTCGTTTTCAGCAACCAGTACGAGTCTAGAATGTGGAGTTTGAAGTGAATGACTCCTCAAGTTTAATAATTCAAGAACGAGCCGTGAATGAGGACCGCTCCTCTGCGCACGTTCCTATGCCCGTTCGCGTGCGCGTGACGCGGAGATGTGCTTGCGTTGTGACAAGTTGGGCTGTCGGAAATAGAGAATATTAGTAAATAGAAAATGCCTGATGGAAGTGTCAGCGACACGTTTGCTGTCCTGGCAGGCGCGCTCGCTTCTCTAGTTTCACTCAGCTTACATCACAAAACTAAAAAGCTCGACATAAACCTGCCCGGAAAACCCATTTTTAAAAAATAAGGCTTTAAGGTGAATTAGTAGGCATCTTATATGAGGTCCTCATAATGCCGATAAACTGGCTCAACGTCAGATGGAAAACTCAACTTACCAGTCGACTCTCTCTCAGGCAGAGATGGAGGTTTTCAGAGCGCCTTCGCCGCCTGCACCAAACCGGCGCGCATGGATCTGCTGCTGTCACACATCTACCTCCTGCCAGTCCGCTCATGCACACGGCCGGGTAGAAGGCGAGAGGTTGGCAAACAGCCCGCAACACACAATAACATCACGTGAAAGTCACCAGAAATACAGTACGAGCCATCGGTACATCCGCCTGGTTGTGCGGCGTGCAGAGGGTAGCGCTGCCTCCAGTATAAGGGGTGATCAGTGCCACACAGAGGGGGAGGAGGGGGAGGCAGGAGGAGCATGTTGGCTTACTGAGATGATTCCAGGCTTTTCTATTGGGAGATTCAGCCAGTCTGAAATCTACAGGGCTGTGGCCGAACAATGAATGAGCCTCAAGCTCCAGATTCACCGTCTGAACAAGACTAAGTGCATATAAACCGATTTACTGCACCAGTTTTACAGGAATTTTATAAACTAAGGTGAGCGATCTGTAAAAGTACCTTTACGATGTGTGATCGATTTTTAGGGATGAAAAGCTGGGGATCAGGACCAGAGGCAGTGAGACTGATCACAGACTGTGAAACACCCCCCACAGCTGTGGGACTGTCGGAGGGTCAAGTGCATGACGGTTCTTTACACTGGTGATTCTAGAGTTTATTGGGGTTCTAGGCAAAAACAGGTGCCCATCCACTCAGCATTCATCACCACCAGAGTTGGCCCAAAATTTTATGGGTCCTTTAAGCAGAATTTTATTTGGGGACCCTCACCCCCACACAAACCCATCCCCAACTACCCACAGAAGCAAAGCTAATATGACCAGGCTTGATCATTTGTGCATTATGCATCAAACACAACTATTATCGTGGCTTACTAGAGTGCTGGAAAGAAATGAAACAAACCAACAGACAGTTCATGTAATTGTATGTGAAAAGGGCAGAACAGTCACAAAATTTAACATAGGCGTATATATTATTTTTGCATAACAATGCAAATGTTAAAACAGACAATATGAAATAAATTAACAGAAACTACCTGGTTAGAGCTAACAGCAGGTTACCAACCCTAATGCCTGTGGTTTCCACCTAAGCCCACAGACCTTGACTGAACCGAAGGCTCGTGTGACGCTTCTGTTCTCTATCACATCAAGAGTATCTCTCCACTCTGTGCGGACATCAGCACTGAAACTCTGTGAGCTAAATCGCAGTAATTTGTTTACAGAGGCATGACTGACACCTAGAAGTACCTACATAAGACACATACACAATCCTTTTTAAATATAACCCTCAAATTATGACTTTTGTAAGACAGGTGCTGAATTTATTCTTTTTTCTTGCCGTTACAATTATTAAGACAATTATAATTTGAGCGGGTAGTTGTGATGGCAAAATTAGTCCTTGTGGAAAAAGCGGTAAAGAAAAAGTTCAGCTAGAACATAATAAATACTGCATTTAACTCTAGTTCATCACTATGTATGTAGCCCCCAACATCACTGGATATGTAGGATGGCCAGATGGGTGATCAGAGTTGAGTCTGTGCTGGCCGTGCTTGTGTGCTTGGCTCTGTCTGTGATTCTTGAAACTAAAGACAGACTGCATTGGTCATATTCTCGCATGTATGCGACTGTTGTAGAAACTTGTGGCTTTTCGATGCACAGACGTGTCAGCACTTCGGCCAAGCTACTTTACAGTTTGCATGCATTTCCGAAATGAATGAGCAACACTGACAGAGCTGTTTCTTATATCTCAGTGCTGAAATTCACCCGGCACTCATGTGACATTCTTCACCGTGACTCCATACAGTGTGATACAAATCCCAAACCAGGATTTTATTGGAGCCATCCAGCATATTGTGGCATTCAGTAAATATTCACAGCCACGGTTGTTTGCTGATGTTATACCAAGCTTTTCTACTGGAGGTAGATTTTCTAATGTGTGTTTTTATGAAAAATAAAAGTTTGTATGAGCCTTATTATTGTATATTATCACCAAAACAAACAAACACAAAGGATCAATAAGCAGCAACAAAAACAATTGCTGGGTCAGTCAAGAAAAACCTGTTTACATGAACATATTCAAATGACACATTAAAGCTCCCGATAAATACATAGATGCTCCAATTAGTGGAAATCATTCATCATCAGGACTGATTGGTGTAGCCTTTACCATCTGGAAAAAGAAAGGTATAAGAAAGAGTGAGGATGTTGATAGTGAAAATAGGTTTGCTTCATTTAAACAATTTACAGAATGTTTATAAAATTCCTGCATCAGGATTTTCCCACTGCTTAAACAAATCAAGATTATATTAGAAAACATGCTTACCTTTGATCATGAGACCCTGGATGTGATGAATAATTTCTAGCAGGCACTATAAAACTGTCTCTGGAATTAGACATGCTTGGGTGGATGAAGTGAATGTGGAAGTAAACAATTAGGTGTGGGAAGAGCATTTGGAGAATACACATAACTGTTTAGTGAATGTCAGACGTAGGCTAACATAGGTCATACTACTCTAGAGAAAGGCTTCACACTCTCTTCTTTGATATTTCACCTGTCTGTCATAGATGTAAATCTGCCGCTGGTAATCTGACTCATTTATTCTGGTGCTGTACAAAACCCACCACCACTCTGAAGCATTTGGAGAGAGCTGACTACTGGATGTATTTATAGCTATACTTGATGTGACCAGCTCTTTGATTTCTGTAAACAAGTATGAACGATTGCAATTCTGCTCAGAATGGTGATTGAAAAGTTCATACTATAGCGGTGGAAAAAGAACTTTCTACCCACATTGGAGCTTTGAACAAGTATCTACAGAGACATCTCAGTGAGAACAGACTGAATATAATTGAGAGGTCCTGGAGTCCTGTACTGGCATTTCTGAATTGGGAATAATTAGTTTGTATTTACGTCAACTGGTTTTATCTTTCTACAGGTTTAATGCTGTCTCAAGGCTGTGGGGCTGTTGCTGTTAGATGTGCTTTCATTCAATACAATAACAAATATTAAAAAATACACACTTTAGGTGTTTAGGTATTTGGCATGTGAAGTATAAATGTGTTTTTACCTGAATGCAACTTTCCAAACTCCAGGGCTAGCTAACACCTGTTTTTTGCTCACGTCGCCCTCATAAACAGCAGTGTGTGTCAAAAGTGATGTTACAGCTGCACTTTAGTGTCATTTTGACCCATTCTGTTTTTTCCAGACCGGTGAGTATGATGCAGTTGGTGGGGATATGAGCGTACAGTCATATCTGGCTTTACTGCCATTTCAAGCTTATAGCTGTACAGGAGCCCAGAGGTTCCCTGGATATAAAGAGGAAGACGCTGCAGCTTGAAAAGATACGACTTCCTGGAGGAAACTCTGTCAAACTTCCTGTTTTGACTTCTTCAATTCCTATACCAGCGCTGATGAGAAGGTGGCCATGCCTATTGCTCAGGAGAAGACTGCACTAAATCTGGCACACCTTTAAGTCCCAGTAAAAGATGACGAGGCTGTGTGATTTCACAGTTGGCATGTGACATGTGATTGTAAAGTAGGCTTTGTTGTTTTGCAATCTAGAACAGACTGTATACCTGAAATATTTACTGTTATTTCAGCTGCAGTTCTGTGTGGTAACCCCTTAATCAAGCCTACTGACCTTAGTTCAGCCATGCTCTGACCACCATTAAGTTTGAAATCTATCACAGCTAATGTAGGCTGACAATGAGTGGAAAGAAAGAAATAATTTTTCAGTGTTTTAATTCTATAATCCCAAGAACGTTTCCCACAAGGTTATTGCTATGCTTGATTTAATTAATAAAAAGTCAAGACTATTTATTACTAAAAAGCACTGAATATGATGTAAAAGCATGGTGAGGTGAGAATCAACAATCAGAGGCAGGTGTGCCTCGCATGCTACTGTGTCCCTGGCATCAATCACTCCTCATACGGAAGCTGTGGGAGGATCAAGCACCTCCCTGAAAACTGTGAGCTACAGCTATGGAACAAACAAACCTGTTAATGGAATCACTAAAGTTTTTGCTTCTTTAAATGAATACAAACAGTTCTTAATGAAGATTACAGACACAGTCACACCAAACTGACATCCACCAGCCATCATTTATTCTACTTATAACCACATTTCCTCTGTCCACCCATCCATCTGGTTATTTGAGGTTGTGGTAGTTTATATTTTGTATAAAATCCTTTTAGGCTTACATATCAGTATATTTGGTGTAACATTTAAAACCAGGATGTGAACTGTTCTTTAAAAAAGCTCCCCTTGAAAAATTGGTCTGTGAAATTGTGTTTGGGTCTCTAAAACACTGACAATTTACTGTTTTTTCTATCTGCAATATTAGGCTGTCACTGATTAATTTAAGAGAATGATTCATCACCATTACACTTTAGTAATGATACCAGCATGAATGTTGCGCCCGTGAAGTGTAAAACAGAAAATAAACAAGTTAATGAATGTATGAAGAGCAGCACTCAGGAATCCAAGAGCTGTACTTGCTGAAGTCGAGTTTTCCATTATGACCATTGACATCTTTTTTTTTTTTCCAAAAAGGACGCCTCAAGCAAAAGGTGAATCATAGCCATTCAGAGCATAGACACAGCCTGTGTGTTTTATTGTTTTATAATGGAGTTTATTCTAAATGCAGACAGTAATTTACAAAGTCAGCATATTGAACCGATGCCTTAAACTGTATACTTAACTTTATATTTAGGTCATAGCTCAAGAAAGTAGAGGTTCATTCTTTTTTCATCTACAGGAGTCACACCCTCCCAGACTAACTTTTGGCCACCTTGAATGAGACCAGGATTGTTTGTTAACACATTA